CGGGCAACATCCCGGGGCGGAGGAGCCAGGGAATGAGTTAGCACTGCTGAATGGTGCTGGGTGTTTGGGGGTGGGAGCAGAGAGGGGGGTGGAGGAGGGGAGGTGGAGAGGGAGAAAGAAGCGGGGAGTAATCACAAAGCATATTTTAAATGAAAGGAAAACGTGAGTGCTGTGTGTATAGATCAGTGAGCCTGATATTAAACTCTGCACAAAATTACAGAATGGATTATTAAAATGGATGGTTACTCCAAAAGTGTTAAACGGGAGCATGTAAAGTCTTAGGAAGAAAAGTGGTGTTCCCCGGGACCTTGTTCAGGCTCCTGAGGTTTAAGCTGTGCCGGGTTAACCTCAATTGCCTTTCAGGAAGGTTAGTGACCACAGTCAAGAGCTAATATCTCTCAAACCTGTCTTAATAGTAGGGTCTATGTGAAATACCTTACATGCCTTTTCTCATTTCTTCTTCAGAATTATCCTCTCTCACCTCTGCCTTACACACATGAAATACCATTCATCGGCACTTTGGGCAATATCTGCAGTACAAACGTATTATGAATTATATGAGAAATATATTCCTAGAATCATGACTAAAGATTACAATGTGGGAACCAAGTAGGCTAAGGTGACTCAGTGCCACAGTAGGAACTTCATAATACACAGAAAGAGAACATTGTCCTTGGAGTAGGCACTCAAGCCCAGTGTGGACTGAGACTTGGTTCGGGCCTGAATATTGAAGAATTTGGAATAATGGAATAGCAGGAACTCTGGAAGAAATTGGTATTCCATTCCTGGAGAAGATATCAGTCATGGTTTACCAATTTGTGAAACTGGAGTGAAAATTGTTTCCGAGAGCAAATAGAAAATTCTGAATGCAGCGCAGGAGCGGAAAGCGAAGGCTCTAGGATTGGCCAGCCATGTTTAGAGGCCAAGCTCAGAACTTACTAGCCATTTAGCTGTATATAGGTTTCTTAAACTTCTTTGTATAGCAGCATTTCTGTCTATAAAATGATCAAAATAATAGCACAGCATTGGAATTAAATGAGTTAACAAATATAAAAAGCACTCACTATGATAAGTGCTTAATAATTTCCCCTATTAATAATATAAAATATAAAAAACTTCCTCTTGTTGAATAACAGTGAATTAGTGAGTCCACCTTTGGTGACGCTTTAGCTGGGAAGAAAATGTTGGGAAAGTCAGCCTGGAGAATTGAAGTTGCTTGTGCTTATCGTGAGTTAGATTTCGGGAAGGAGAGTGTGCAGTGTAATTCACTCATGTTCCAAGGTCTTCAAGCATCTGGTAAAGGCTTCATAACCCAGAAAAACCAAACACAAACTGATTACTATTTTATTTTAAGAAATTGAATTGTCAAGAATATAAGCAATCAAAAAAGAAAAGAAAAAGAATATAGGCTATCCAGTAGGCTTCAAAAACTTCTTGGGCTTTGCATAAAAACCCAAGATAAGAAGACATATTAAGAGCATCCTCCCAAATGCATTGAAAAAGCTACTTCTCACTTTATCATGGGCACAGGTAACCCTTAAGTTTCTATATCTGTGTGTTATATGTAGTAGGAAAATATGTGTGCACAGAAGAAAATGCTTCTGTTATGAAGTTAAATTTATTACATGCCTAGACAATTGATATTTTTGGTACCTTCTACATGTCTTGTTGTAAATATTCTCCTCTTACATGTCACATTTTGAAACAGGAGTTTCCTAGTTGACAAAGAATGGGAATTAATAGTTATATCCAAGTAAAATAATTTATTTGTACAAAAGAATAATTAGACTTAAAACAAGATTTTGACAGCTAAAACAAGGGCACAAATTTGAATGATGATGAATTGTGTCTTGAATAGTTTGCCTATTGTCTTAGAAGATTGGGACTCAGCATCTTACTCATTCATTTCTTCAGCAGATTTTGAATGAACATATATTCTGTGGCTACTTCTTTTCTAAGCTCTGATGTAAGAGTAACAATAAAGAAAGTGCAACATCATCCCTACCAGTTTCATATTAGTGGGAGGCAAATTAAACAAATAAGAAAAATTCCAGGAAGTGTTTACTGCTAAGTAATCAAAAAGGACACAGGTGTGGGACAAGATTAGATGGCTACTGTGGGTGCCTCTCTAAAGAGCTGATATCTCAACTGAGAAATGAATAAGAAGTGAGAACCGTGAGGATAAAGAGAAAAACATCACCTCAAGAAGAAGCTAGTTCAAAGATTCTGAAAGAAGGCTAATTTGACTGAAAGGCTGAGGACAAGGTACACAATGTTTACAGGAAGTTTAGGGACATAGGTGCAGGCATTGATGATACTATGGGACAAGGTAAATTTAGGTGGGACTGACATGAGGGGCTTTGCACATCTGGTTGTGAATCTGACCAGGTGATCTCGGAAGTGCCTATTACATACTGAAGTTCTAGGGTTCTTTGACTGTGCAGTATTATCTTAAATTGCTCTCTTCCCTGTTTAAATTGTCAGTGCTCTGTCCTCCACCTGCTCTCTCTGCAGCCTTATCAAGGATAGGTAAATTATTCCATTAGGCTTTATAAGATACTGGAAATAGCTCTTGTAGTTTTATTGCTTTCTTGGTAGACTCCAGATTGGGAAGAAATTGATCTTATTCAACTGTCTCATAGTGGAGATAAGACAAGTATCTCTGAAAAATGAAATGATTAGTCCACGTAAAATTCAAAGATAATAGCAAAGCTTGGACTAGAACCCAAGTCTCCTGGTTTTATTTCAGATCATCTTAGGACTCTTCATTTTTGCTTCAGCCTGTTTTATATCCTAAAATAACCTTCTTGTAATTGCTACTTTTAAAATTATATTGTTAAAAATAACAAAACAACTTTTTTTTGTTTTTTTTTTTCGAGACAGGGTTTCTCTATGTAGCTTTGGAGCCTTTAATCTCAGCACTCTGCCAAGAGGCAGGAGGATCTCTGTAAATTCAAGGCCAGCCTGGTCTACAGAGTGAATTCCAGGACAGGCTCCAAAGCTACACAGAGAAAACCTGTCTCTAAACAACAACAACAAAACAAACAAAACCAAACCAAAGAGAAGACACTCCTGAATTCTTAGCATCAGCATATTGGTGATGGACTCTATTCAAGAATGAGATGGGGCATTTATTCCTTCAGGTGCTGAATACTGGCAACTGGTGGCTGTCAGCCCAGCACTCTGTGAACAGGCAAGTCAAATAGTGAGGTAGACTCAGCAAGCCATCCATCATAAGATAGAAGTGTTACATCTGGGATCAGGCAGACCCAGGGTGAGAAGGGACAATGAAGCTCATTGTCCCCTCCCCCTCAGCAAGGACTTGATCCATTCCAGGGTTCCCATGGGGTTTGCTGACCAAAAAAGCAAAAAAACAGCTGTGGTTCTCCCAGTTGTCCAAAAGTGAGGTCAGGGTTAGAACTGGACAGTTATTGCACTGTGACTCCACTCAGGGTGTCTCTTAAAACAATGGTCCTCACAGTGGCCAAGCTTCAGGCATCGTACCAGCTCTCACAACTCAAGTGGGAAGGATAGTCAACCAAAGTAGCAATCTATACTTATTCATGAGCAGAGGAAAATTATTTAGCTTATTGTCAAGGGACTAGGGAAAACAAATACAAGAAAATAGGTAACAAGGGTCCTTTGGGAAGAAGCTTGTGGGAGGCCTGTGGGAAAAACCCAAATGGGAAAATCTTTGTATGTTAATTTACACTAAAGCGCACACGCTTCAAAGGCACTAAGCAACCAAAAACAGAATGATCTGACCAGCCTCTGTATTAACCATTTCAATGCTGGCCCAACGGTCATATAAACAGAGTATGCGAACATAGTAGCTGGGATAGAGCATATGCATGAGCCCAACAACGTGGATCTCACTCACCAAGGCTAATCTAGCTATGCCTATTGCCCCAAATACTACCTACCAGCAACAGAGACCAATGTTAAGCAATGATGTGGCACAATTTTCAAGAATACAAACCAAATACTTGGTGGTTACTTGTGTCCACAGAACCCAGATTTCTACCTTGTAGCAATCTCAACCTGTAGAAAATCCTCCATAGATTCCAGGTTTGGGTTTGTTTTTATCATCTATATCCCCACCCAGCACCATTATGTAAGTCCGAGAATATTAGACTCACTGAAATGAGATAATATGACTGACAACATATGACAGTGAACCAATTCCCATGAAGTTCACTGGTCCCATCGCTAAGCCAACCTGGAGCCAGAAAAATAGCCTTTTGAAAGTGTGAGACACCAGTCTACATATAATGCCCATGACAATGGGGTGCAGTACGATGCTCTGTCCCCAGTGAATAGAGCATCTGAGACTGAGATTCAAAGGAGGGAAGCAGATGTACCCCTATCTAGCATCCCTCCCAGAGACTAACTTACAGACTTTGTGTTTCCTAGCCCTGCATGTCTAGACAACTCAGATCTAGATATTCTGTTTCCTATAAGGTAAAATGTTTATGTTTTCCTTAATGGACAAAGCAAGAGTTTCATTTGGCTTTAAAACTATAATTGCTGCTTTAGGGCCATCATGATAAGAAGAATTCAAAGGGAATTATATATAAGGAAGATGCCACTATCCTAGTAAGTACATCTATCTCTGATCCTTAGGTGGGGTAGAGCTCTATTTTACACTAAGGGCAAGGCAAAGTAGGTTTGACACCTACAGAATTCACTGGAGCATTTATTTATTCTACAGTCCATAATTTTGACAATGACAGAATAAACACCACAGCTACAGTGTGAGAAAATCATGATGATCAAAAAATCAGACCATAAAAAATAAGGGTTCACTTCACCCCACCGTGTAATTCTTTTAGTAAAGCCAGTAAATGCAATCAAGAATATGCAGAAGATAATTGATATAGTGAAAACCTAGCAAAATATGTAAGTGGATTCCAGCGACATGAGAGATGGGTTCTAGAAAATGTTATGTCATTCTGCCCTTTGTCTTTGGAACTAGGGAATTCGGTACCTCAGGTTCTCAGAGCATTGCTGACTGATGACTCTTGCCCCAGCTCTCACTGTGGAATTTCTCTCAGCTGAGAAGAGCTGCCCAGTTCAAGTTCATAACTATTTCACTAGGTCCAGCTCTTATGAAGAGGTATAACCACTTCATCTCAAGAAGGGACAACTCTTGAAGGGCTGTCTCAACTCCACTTTTACCTGAGTATTGCTGCAACTTCATGGTAACTGCACTCCTCTCTCTATACAGCCTGACTACCTTCACCTGCATCTGAACCCTAAAATTAGTCATGCTCCTGCTTTGGCCTCCCCAGCTCTGGGATTACAGACATGAACCATGACACCCAGATCAGGTTTTACTTTTGACAGCCATTTTCTTTGTGGCATTTAGTGTTTGTCCCTGGTCTTCTATCTGCCGACGGGTTCTCTACAATGAAGGTACATCCCCACTCCTTTTTATTTATAACAAACTATCCAGCAACACTCTTGCCAAGACAAGAGTATTTTGGTTGCATTAAAAATGCAATATAAATTTTATAAAATGTTCTGAGAATAGCCTCCAAGAAAACTACACATAACATACATCTCTCTAGAACTTGTCTCTCGGGGACTAGTTCAGAAACCACCTAGCATATCAACATGAGATAAACATCTGTGGTCTGGAGACTGACATTGCAGTGGCATTTTTCGTGAAACCAGAAATATTAGACTAAGAAAATTGTGCAATGCTTGCTTGTACTTAAAATAGATGTACTTAGAAATTTGGAAATATGACTTGAAAAAAATAATAAAGTAGCAAAATATTAAGTGATGAACTTCATCTATCAGGATTGTGGCATTTTCCTATATTCTAAAACATCACTAATACTAACACCTAGATATGTTATAATTTTTTCCATGTATAATATTGTTAGTGAAAATGTTAAATGTTTATGATATACCTATAAAAATAGAAACTTAAGTCTAAAACTAAAGTAGAGATAAGAAACTCAGAGTTTAATATAATTAGTGTAGTCCAGAGATCACAATATAAGAATGAGAAAGGATTTGATCTCTTTCTCCTAATTCACTCTCTGGATGAATTTAAAGTATTAGATGAAGTGGGCAAAAAGGAAATAAAAGTCCAGGATCCAGCTTGCTGGGATGGGAACTGTGTTTCAGGGTTTGAAACAGATGTCTCCTCAGGTAGTGTAAGCCACAGTAGATAACTACCTAGTTCAAGCAGGCTTTTCTGAGAGTCTGCATTTTCTGCAAGAAGCAAAAATAATTCTCTCGTAAGTGGTTCTATGCAGGGTCCTAACCAAGCCAAAAAATAAAAAATAAAAATAAAACTAGAGAAAACCAAAGCAATTGAGTTGTTTCTCAAAACTTCATCCAAAAAGTCAGAATAAGTCACCCTGCATCAGTCCATAGACGCTAACACTAAACCCTTGCAAGGCTTCTCTTACTGTTCTGTCCATTCACACTGGGAGTGTGCTGATTGGCTCAGTTCACTCGAGAATCAGTCAGTCTGGGCACAGTGGTACAGGCCTATAAGCCCAGCCACTTGAGCAGGTGAGGCAGCGGGACTACACAGTGAGCTAAAGGCAAGCCTGTTTGTGATCGATAAAAAGGAAGAGTAAAATGTACCTTCACTGTAGACAGCCTGTCTGGCAGATGGGAGGGCTGCGAAAAAAATGGCTGAGTCCAAAGTAAAGCCGGAGCTGGGTGTGGTGGCCCATGCCTGCCATCCCAGAACTGAAGAGGCCAAGGCAGGAGGCTCACTGAGATCCAAGCCACCATGCTCTACAGACCCAATCCACCCAAACCAAATGAATGAAGGAACAAAGAAACAGATGAAAATTTCCTTTTTGGCCTCTTTCTTTCTCAGACCCCCCTCTAAGGAAGGTTCATGATTGTTATCTGCTCAGTTCCTTTACTTCCCACAGGGAGCAAATTTTAACAAAAATCAGAAATTATCCAGACTGTTATCCAAAACAAGAGTATTTTGGTTGTATTAGAAATGCAATTTAAATTTTGTAAAATGTGATATTTGTCTTCTTTTCTCAAGACTAGAGTACCCCCAAAATTTGTTTTAAAAAAACTGTATATAATGGTTGAATAGCTTTTTCAACCCCACATTCTTGGAAGCAATTCTCATATGACAAGAAGCATACATTAAAAATAATACATTTTTGTTACAAAATTTTAATGGGAAATTATGATTTGTACAAGTGGCTCTTTCAAGCCACTTGTATAAATCAATGATCACAATGTTTTTTAACAGGTTTACAGAAAAATGTAGAAGCAGTCTTCAAGTGGCTGTTCCTTGATCAACTTTGAATAAAGCCAGATAAAAAACATCAGAGCGTATTTTCTGTGGAGAATATTTTTTGAGGAAGTTAATCGAATGTAGTTCAAGAGCAATGTGGCCACATTTCATTTGATTTTGAACTTCATTAATTTGAAGTGGTGTGGTATGAAATATTTTAAAAGTCTTTAGCTATATATTCTGAAATTATTTGTATCCTCTCCAACTACAAAACATAATGAGGAATTTTATAATTCAAGGCTGACTGGCTAAATAAATTGTGAACTCTGCTTTTGCCATTTCCATTAAGAGGTGGTAAACTTGCTGGCAAACAGATGCACCATCCTCCATCGGAACAGGGGGGTTTTCAGAAGTGCATCAATCATATGGTCTAGTTGCTATAACTCTAGCTGTTTGGTATCATCTCTTTATGAAACAAAAATCTGGTAATCTCTTAGAGATAAGGCATGCACTTGTTACATGCTACCTCTTTACATGCTATATTAATGTGTTCCATGTTTTATATTTCTTGGCTAGCAGTTAAAATCTCACCAGAGTCACACAGTGCAGTTATTATTTAAAAATGTTTTGTCTGCCTACTATAGAAACACTATTTTCTTCAGTCATTTTGGAACACATAGTACTTTCACTAAGCTAAAATTTCAAAAGGTACAAGCAATGTTTGCACAGGGAAAGGTCTGTCCTCTGTCTATCTCCCAGTACACACTTCTCTCTCTAGAGCCAACCTATTATTATCAGCTGCTTGTATAATCCTCTGAAAATATTTCATGCATATAGAAGTGAGTATGTATTTGCATCCTTTCTTAACAGCACTGATAAAATATGTAAACACTATTTGTCACTTAATAAAAACATCTGGAAAATTGGCTCCTATCCATACATAAAGAGGGTTCTTTTTATTTTTTGCATATGAGTTGCATATTTTCATATGGATATATCCCAACTTGCTTAATCAGTATACCTAGAAAGATATTCATTCCTAGGACTTCTCATTGATCTATGGAATAAAAATAAATGGGCTAGAGTTTAAGGATATATTTTTAACTAGCTCCGGCTGAATGTTATCCAACAAGCTTGAAATCTTTTGACAGACTGATTTTAGAGAATCACTATGTATTTATTTTTTATATACTTATTTAGTTTTATCTATTTTATATGTGGGGGTGTTTTGTCTGCATGCATGTCTAAGAGGACATCTTATCCTCTCTGGAACTGGAATTACAGATAGTTGTGAACTGCCATGTGGGTGCTAGGAATTGAACCACATGGAAGGCCCTCTGGAAGAGCAGTCAGTGCTCTTAACTACTGAGCCATTTCTCCATCCCCCACAATGCATTTCTTAAAGAACCTACCAGTTAAACTGAGTAACCCCTGCATTTTATTTTGTTTGGTCAATACTTTGGATAGGCATAGATCTGAAACTGCACAACTTACCTAAAGAAAGTAGGAAATCATTTGAAAATATACATAGGATAATTTTGATGTGTAGCATATGCAAGCTCTCTGTGATTCTTCTTGCATAAGCCCCACAGCCCACCCACCTTCAGCAGAATCTTTCATTCTTTCATATTTTCCTGCCTTCAGTTTTTATCAGGCTCATTATCAATGGGAAAGGAAAAGTAAAATGGCTCATCAACTGGGTTTGCCTGGAGGCTTTGCAAGGAGAGTTAGCGATCTGCTGTAATTGATGTGTTGTTTTAGTTTGAGCAATTTGAAAACATAAATCAATTGTTTAAAACAACTGTAATAGAAGATGGAGTGTTCCTTACCGCTTTGGATGCTAATGGGGCATGGATTCTCAGCATTTTAATCAATGGTAGTCACTTTTCATAAGGATTTTATGGAAGTGGGCAAGGAAGAACTAACCAGCATCGACTGTATTCTATATAGATCACTTCAAGCAATTGTACAAGGAATAATCATAGGCCTCCATTTGATAGACAAAGAAGTCGAGGCTCAAAGGTTAAATGACGGACCCAAGCAGCGTATCTGCTAAGAGGCATAGCTGGGACTGGAAGCTAGTTCTGATTCCAGATATTATGCTTGCTATCCTAAGCCATGCTCACCACACAAACGGCAAAATTTAGAGTCACATTTTCAAGAGAATTATCAACAAATTTAGATAAAACCTATTCGACATTTCATTATGAATCTATAAAGCTAGAAACTGAAGGATTCAGTTTCCTAGGCATTTCTGTTGCTATTGGAGAACTAGAAAATCATTTGTGCTATCGGATCATTTTGGTCATATGCTACTGAAGAAAGGGACTATGTTCGATATTGTACCGCACATACATATAGTACCACACATACGTTCTACTCCAGCAAATTTAGTTTTAGGACAATTTTAGTTGTAACTGCATATTACTTTATGATAGCATTTCTAAGTTAGAAAAATTGGCATTTGCTCTTATTGTTAAAGGGTAGCTTGTCCTGTTCCAAATCAATTATCCATGTAGAAATGTGTACATATAAATATGATACAAATCACTGCCATAAAACACCTGAAATGTGTTTCATCACTAGTGAAAAAACTGGCCTGAAAAGGACTAGGTTTTTCAAAGATGCTGCTTTTCTGTTTTGGTTTCTCTGAGTTCTACAATATTCACTGAGAGTTTGTCCAGGCTAGGTATCTATATCTAGCAAAATCTGGAGTTGTCATCAGAGTTTCAAGAAAACCACTTGTTCTTAAAAAGACTCAGTTTATAGCATTTTGTGAAAGCAATGCAGAGTTAATTTCAATATAACTATATTTATGCACTTAGGTGCATGGGCACATGCGTGTGAATGCATTACACAATGGGTAGTGTATCACTCCAGCCCTTAGTCAGGCTAATGAACCATCTATGTTGCAGGCTGGCCTGGATTTATCTCCCCTATCTTCCAAACCCCTTCCTTACATCTCATCTTCTCGCCCTAATGGGGTGGAAATCCAGAGGTCTTATTCTCATTATTTATTCATTTAACACAGTTCCCTTGAAATACAGTCATTATAATTTTGCAATATTTTGACATACTTAAAATTATAGAGTGTAATACAAATCTTGTACCCAGCTTCTAGGTCCATTGAATTTAATATTTACTTCATGTTCTTTCACCTCTGAATTTAAAAATGTAATGGATATAGCTGAAGCTGTACTACGCTCTTCAATAGCCCCGTTCCTTTCTTTCTTCCTACGTGTCTGTCATTTTCAAGCTTTAACATATTTAACAGTTTTAAACAAGAGCCCAAGTCAAACATGCCAAGCTGAACACACACATTCATCTTCCACCTTTCCAGAACATCCATGCCACATGCTGGGAAGGCCTATGGCACTGAGAGAACAAGAGGAGGTTGTGCTTTACCCAGCTGAAGTGGAGACTATGCAGAGGAAGGATTTACATTCCATCAAGACAGGACAAAGGAGAGTGAAATGTCTGTCTCCTCTACCAATGATGAAAGCTTGCCCAGATGTGACCTGTTGACCTTTGCTTCTCTGTATCATTGGTGAAACCCAGTCACATGACCACCACAGTCTGTAAGGATCCTAGGGTTTGTGAGGATAACAAATATTTGGCTTCTCTCTCTTCAAGGCAAGACATGCCTTGTAAATCTGTTAAGCCAAACATTCAGATTTTCCATAGGTTAAAGAACCCTCGTTTGTTTGGGAAGAGGAATTAGAACTATCTGGGAGAATCTAGGAGGTTGCTACCTTGGGTAAGTTCCATAGGAAGTTGCATGTCTGTCTCCGATCCCCCAGTGTGTTCTGGGAATAAGGATTCAGAAAAATGTTTTGCATACATGCTCTCAACAGGATTTGGTCAAATAAGCTTAAAAAAATTAGAATTGACCCAACATACATTATTAAACTATTTAAATTCTCTCAAATTCAAAATTCTAGTTTCCAATGTACTTCTTGGCAGGGAGTTATTGCTTCTTATTGATTTCCTTTCTTTTTTCTTTGGTCCATGAATGTTAAATTAAATCTTATATGAAATTATAGCATGTCAAGCCTCTTAACTCCTGTTTCTTTCCTTTTGTTCCAATTCCCTTAAGTAATATAGAACCAATCAATGATTTCATTATCACTTGAGATCAAAATTATAGGATTTTAAATATCCTTTTTTCAAACTATTTGATATGTGCATTTTATTTTACTATTTGTCTTATGAAATCAAATGGTTGTAAAATGTTTACACAAGAACATTAATTCCCCAGCTCATCTTTCACCTTGTGATTCTCACATTTGCGTGTCTTCTGCATCAACAACATACACGAGTCATTATCTTCTATCTGACTTTCCAACTCTTGTTTTTATTTATATTTTGGAAATTTTTGAACATTTTTAATAATAAGGAAAATAATAAAAAAAAAAACACTTTCATCCATCACCAAATTAGCAGTTCTCTTTATGACTGATCTTGGGTCATTGAAATTCTCACCCATTTTCTTGTCTCTGGGCTGTTTCTTTTTCTATGTTTAAAAATTTCTCTTGAAGTAGAACATATATATGGAAATGTACAGGTCCCAAAGGAATGTTTCTTAAATTTTTAAAAGAACACCCCACCTAAGCAGTACCCAGAAACGTAGTGTTCCCTGGGGCCTCCATCGTGTCCCGGCTGTTCATCTCTCTCCTGCCTCCTAATGGCACAGAAGAGCTTCCTCTGGTTTTGCACATCCCATAGACAGAATTCTTCCCTGTATACTTTCTATCTATCTGACTTATCACATTCAATGTTATGTATGTGATATCCACTGCTATGGCTGCCACCAAGAGCTGGTCCTTTTCGTCTCTGTTTAGTGCCACATCATGTAATAACACCACACTTTATTTAGACATGCTAAGGTTGGGCACGTCAGTAAGTTCTGCCTTTTAGTTATCTCTAGGTGTCTGAGAGAATGTTAAAACTTTTTCCTTTCAAATTTTAAGCATTTTTATTATGAACAGCAGGCACATAAAAGATAATGATACAGGCATATCTCCTGTGAAATGCATTGTGAGTGATAACGTGCTTTTATTTTTCTGGATACGTGCCTAGGGTTGGTATTGC